AGACGCTGTGCGCAGGGCCGCTAGTCACCTGAGGGGGCAGGTAGGGCCAGGCGAGGCAGGGAATGGCTGCAGGCGCTGTTGTGAGGGAGCTCTGGCGTTCAGCAGCTTCTTCCGTAAAATCTTTGGGTCCTTCCTGAGGGCTGCCGAGGTACAAATAGGAGAAGGCGGTATCCCTACAGAAACGGGGGTATGTGGTAAAGCTTTTGCCTGAAAACGAGGGAGGTTTCTCTAGCTCCACCCGAGAACTTTCTGTGGCCGCTAATTAGCAGCTATCCTGAGTTTTTGTTCAAGCACAGTCAGTCAACTGTCGGGCAAAAGCATGAGTGGGACTCGCTTATTGTGCATGATTCAACGTAAAAATAGAAACACTGTTCAAATAAGGAACTGTGAATCTCAGTGTCAACGGTTAGGACATTGCATGAGCTGTAATAAAAGTTCACTCTGAAAAGCATAGGGTAACTGACAACTGTCAAAAGCGTTCCAGCAGAAAGCGAGATGTTTAGGATACAATTTTTTTTTAAAATAAAAATAACTAGAATATTAGTTCCATATTTGGGATGTTACTTATGGTGCAGAAAATAGCTTAAAAAGACAAACTTCCAAGTTAATGAATAAGCTATATGATGAATGAAACATACTTATACTTATATGAGAAAAATGGTCTCAAAACAGATATGTAACTTATAAACCATTGGCCCGTCAGATGATTCCTTTTTTAAAATTTTCTGTTCCTGTATCACTTAAGAAGAATGTTATAGATCATGGTCTTCACTTGCTTGCTGGAGATACAGTATTTATGAAAGGCTGCATACTTACGTGAAACATGTTCTTTGCTGGTCTCAGATATAACTTATCCTGTAAATAGGCATTCATGATGTTGTTAATTGCTTACGTTTGAATGACTGCAGAATGAAATGCAAAATAAGCAAAATGCTCCTCAGTGAATTTCAAGCTCAAAAAGCTTGAAAGTAAAACTTTTTATGGTGGCCTCTTGGAAAGGAAAACATACAGTATACTAACCAGTACTTAAATGTGCATAAATCACTTTGCGATGTTTGCAGAGACTTTTCAGCGGCAAAAGTTGTCTTTTTAAACATTTTATAGGTACTCAGAGCCTAACCTGCATGTTGTCCTGTAGTATGACTATTGTGTTGCCTTAACTTGGTGATAAATTGAACAGGATTTGAACTGAGATGTTTTAAATAGAACTGGGTTCTTTCCTTCCTCAGTTGAATGTTGTAAAATACTTGTTTCTGTTTTATAAAGAATACATTTCATAATTTGTGACTTAATTGATATATAAAGGAGATACAACACTTAAAAATGGAAAGCCCATTCATCTGACAAAGGAGAGCAGGGAGAGTGCAAATTCCATTTTGTGTTGGTTTTAAGGAGTTGCTTTGACATGCTAGTGATGTTTCTTTGAACTGAGGTACTTCTTTCCAAAAGTTGCTGCATACCAAAATCAGAACGTAATTTTCCATAGAAAGCATTATTGCAGTAGGTCTGTCATTTGAATTTCTCCAGTGCATTATGGTGCAATCAATTCGAGTGTCGAAATAGTTTCCAGCAATGAGGCAAAAGTTCAGTTATGTTTGCCTAAACTATATAAGCTTTGGACTATGGGTTGTTGGGTTTTTGGGGGGCACAGCACACCTGGGCAGGACTCACACTCCCTCTCTCTCTCTGTCTCTCTCTCTCTCTCTCTCTGTCTCACGAAAAAAGAAAAAAGGGCATTTATTTTATAAAGGTGAGAATAGCAGTTCTGAGCTGACCCTTTACTGTGGATGTGATACAAACTAGGTGAACATAGGAATTTGCCTTAGCTTGTCACTAGGTCTCCTTTTGGTTTCTTCTGTGGTCCAGTGGAATGGGACTAGGGGGTAGACACAGTTGTGTTTCTGTTGCACCATTGCACACAAAGTCACCCGATTCCCTAGGTCCCTAAGTGACTGCAAAACCCACTCTAGATAAGGGAGCTGGGGCCTTCAGCTGGTAGTGCCACCCAGGAGGGTGAATTCCATCTAAGGAGCTGGGAAGCATGTTTTTCGCACAAAAATGTGCTGAATTCTGCAAACCGCTACATTAATCCATCATGCAGAATTCTTTAAGATACTTGTATTGCTTTGGGTGGTACTACTTGTAGTGGTGCAAACAATAGTTAACTCAAATTAATGCTTTGATGGATATCTGAAAATTAGTATCCCATATATTTGTACAGGTTTGTGTGATCTTGCTTACATCATTTTTTGCCTTTGTTTAAGATAATTGACGATATTTGCTGCTGCTTCTTGGGTGCTAAAAGTAAAATACTGAAAGGTAAAGAAAAATATTTTAGTTATTTTGGTGTATATGGAAAAATTCACTTTCATTTTTTTCTAATGTTACTTGTTGCTTGATTAATCATCAAATGAGACATAGCTTAAAGCAGCTCACTCCCTTTATTTGAAAATCTTTGTGAATGTGTGTGAAAATCTTTGTGAATATGGGATTGGCTAGGGAACGTACAATATGATTTCATTGTTAAGAGGTACTTTAACAAATGTACTGGGGGTAGTGATCAGTATTAATTTCTATTTATCTTTGTTTCACCATTTTTGACTTTGGAATTAAAGAAGCTTGAGGAATCAGTTGTGCAACTACTGGCTTTTTGCTAAAAGGTTATGGCTAGTTAAATGTTTTATGTTGTTTGAGCATGGCTACTTTTAGTGATTGAACCAGTGACTATATCAGGAGTTCGGCTTGGAAATTAATTGGTTCCGCTTATCCAGTTCTAGAGAAACTTTGATATTTGTCAGCTTATACAAGGCGTCCAGATTTCAAAAGCAGGGATTTCAGAGATCATGTATCAGAGATAACTGCTGTTGGAATACCAATATATGCATATGTACAGTCAGTAAGACCCGCAAATATCCAGATTAAACGTTTTTGGTTGTAAGATACTAGACAAATGTTGATTATGTTCTGTTGCTTTGATAGCATGTCAATGAATGATAAGTGATTAAAATAGGATAAAGAAGAGTGAAGAACTAGGAATGGCATACTGGCCCACACCAAGCCTAGTATTCTTGTGTGATCAGTGTCTGTGGAAGAACATCAGTTAAAATGCAAGCTGTGGGGAGGGGGATAGCAGTGAAAGAGCTAACATCACTCTTTGTGGGCTGGGCTGCAGTGTCTTCTGGGTCATGTCCCCCACCTGCTCTGCAAGAGCAAGCTCCCTAAGCGAGTGGGGCTGGTGTCTCCAGTAAGCGACTGCTGGAGTTTTTGATGGCAGGCCTTCTCCATCTGGCTGGGAAAGCGGCTTAGGACAACAAAAAGACCGGACCACCCTACCACTGTCAACTTGCCATCTGCAGTGATGAGGACCTAGACAGGCTGCTGGAGAAAGTCACTGTTGTTTGAGAGGGGTTTCTGCCGAATATCCAGCTCTACTCCTGTCCGAGAAGACTGAGAGCCATAAAGCAAAGAACAAGTAAAACTGACCGTGAAAAGAGAGGAACAGTCTGACTTCAGAAGTTGCTACCTAGGCAAGAGTAAGAACTATGCAAGCATATATGATGCTTTCCTTTTATACTGACCCAGACCCCCCGTTTTCATCTTGGGGGATTCCTCTGGTTTGTTTGTGTAATAACCGATTATAGCTCTTTCTTCTGAGTGCTTATCTAGTCTTCCTTGAGCTCATACAAACTTCTTACATCTGCAGCTTCCTTTGGCAAGGAGTTTTGTCAGTCTGCTGCTTGTTGTGTGAAGAGCTGCTTCCTTTTTCTTGCTTTGAACCTGACTCCTACTAGCCTAATTTTATGACTCCTGTTTCTTGACAGTGAGCAGCCAGTACTTCTCTCCGTTCTACTCATGATTTTATTGACCTCAGTTTTCCCTCAGTCCCTGAGTTGTCCCCTTTTCTGGACTAAAGAGTCACTCTTCCTAAGGAAGTGGTTCCATACCTTTGATCGTCCTTATTGCCTTTCTTTGAACCATTTCCCCTAATATACTTTTTGAAATGAGAGTACCAGATCTGCACAAGGAATTCAACATGTAGGTGAGCCATGGTGGCACAGAGGTGTTTCTTCTTTTATTCTCTTCTCTTTTTCTAATAGTTCCTAACGTTTGATTTGCTGCTTTCACTGCATTGGAACACTGACTTGATGTTTTGATAGAGCTACCCCGAGGTCTCACCCCCAAGGGCAATGGTCAGAGCCAGTCATTGTATGTGTATATTATCCTGTCTATGAAGCTAGGATCATCTTACGCCATGTATGATTAAGAATTCAAAAAGATTTCTTCCCCTCCCTGAAGACTATGCCAGAAGGTAGTCTCCTCTTTTGGGGAAGGATGAACATCTTCCTCACAGAAAATTGGGACTTTGCTGGCCAAGGCATGGGAGAGGAAGAGTAAACTGCCCTTACTTGCTTCCCGTCTATTCCCATAATCCTACTGGAGTTGCATATGAATGTGATCACGTCATCATAAATGAATGGGTTGTTTCAAAAAAAAAAAAAATTAAAAGTTTACTCTTTAGTTGGTGAATGTCAGCTAAATTTAATTTATTTCTGACTGTGTTGGATGATAATGTTAGGTGCACACGTGTTGAATATTGCACAAAATATACTAAAATACTGTGTCCTCATGTTGCATAGCTACTTTGGTTAGAGTAACTGTGTTCCTGATTTACTGGGCTGAAACTGAATCTTTCATCAGGAGAAGTGTTTCATGAGAAGTGTTGAATGCAGTGGGCAGCAGAAGTCTAAGCCCTGCAGTGCTGCCTGTTACCTGTGAACCAGTGAGTCTGCTAGGTTACGTACCAACCGTGTTAGTAGTTGGGACTCTTTTAGTGAGACAAGTACTCAAAATCAGAAAAGCGCTTAAACTTTGAAGATGCAATTAGAAAAATACTTATGGCTAATACTTATCTTGGATATCTTTGCTCTCCTTCTTGTGTATTTTTCCTTAGCTGTATCTGCTTTCAAACAGGTTATTCTGTTTAGCAGTGTTTGAAATGGATTTTCTTCCTTTTCCATAGTCCAGTCAAGAGTCTTTCAGGATAGAGTATGACACCTTCGGTGAACTGAAGGTCCCAAGTGACAAATATTACGGTGCCCAGACTGTGAGATCGACAATGAACTTCAAGATAGGAGGTGTTTCAGAAAGGATGCCAGTAAGTAATTTCAGTCTGTGCTCATTTCTTTTCTTTAAGTTTGTGGATGTGAGAGTGAATACCTTTTTCTCAGTCTTTTGCTGGGAATATCATCTGAATTGTAATTAAAGCCACAATCTCCACTGCAAGATATTTTTCTGTGGTAGAAATCATTTTAATTTATTTGTTTTAAATAAATTGAACATTACTTTTAAATAATTACTTTACTGGGTTGCTTAATTTTTTTTAATAGCTAGGATGAATAGAAATCTATAGCTTTCATTTTTCTAAAGACCAAACACTGGTGAATGGAATAGTTTGTAGTTTGAGTTATATTTACTATGATGTGATGCTGTTTGTTTCTGAAGATGTTTTGCATACCATAAGCTGATATGAAGTTGCTTTTTACATGTAGCTGTGCTTGTAGCAGTAGTATACATACAATTTGTCATGCACTGTTTTTGCATATACTGAAATGTAACACAGTTTGCCTTCAAAAGGCTATTTTAGAAAGGCTACCACTTCTTCTTTCCTGATCATTTTATCGCCTACAATCTATTTTGATACAGGCAGCTCATCCTCTCTTTGAAAGTTAAGGTATGCTACGTACTGCTTTCTGTACTGCTTGGATAAATGTTACTTATAATGGCAGCACAGTCAATGTGACTTCAATTGCTCTTTGGATTGCTTGATGGACTACTTGCTGGATTAAGGTTGAGAGAGTTTGGTTCAGAGCTAGATCTGTGTAATGGGTTTCTCAAATTTCCTCAGGGAAAAAATTTACATATTTAAACTTTCTCTTGTGTATCAGATTCAAGTTATAAGGGCTTTTGGCATCTTGAAGAGAGCAGCTGCTGAAGTAAATCAGGATTATGGTCTTGAACCAAAGATTGCAAATGCTATCATAAAGGCAGCAGATGAGGTAGGAACAAACTGTTCAACATACTGGAACTTTCATGGTATTTTTGGTAGCTTTGCATGGGAAGATTGTTTGGGGCCTGGGGGAAGACTTCTTGTATTTCTCAAATTGTTAGAGCAAAGCATTGATCGTTAGTAAACGTTGTTTTTGAGGCTGACAAATCTTTTACTTAATATTTTACTACTTACATTTTTAGAAATGATTGAATGTTCAGAAATGATTGAATTTTGATACTTAAGCTTCTTAAAATAATGTAGTTTTTCCCCTCTGTTGATACTGTGCATTACTTGCAACGTGTTGTGAGATGACTCTTACCGGATGAACAGTACAAAAAACCTAGGAGGGGAATAGCATCTTGCTGAATTCAGTGCTAATATGACATATGACACACCACCAAAAGCTTTTTTCTTTCTGAATGTCTGCATCATTGTAACGTGAAGACCATCTGAAATCTAAAAAGTTCTGTGTTATTGGTCTAATTCCTCTTCAGACTTCGGTTTACTACTATAACTGTGCTTGTTTAGTATCACTTTTATGGCTAGAGAGGACGTGATGTGACACATGGAGGCATCTCCTCTTTCTCAGGATAAATGCCACTCAAATGCACAGGATTGTGAATGACCATTATCTGAGGCATGGTAGTGCCTGGTGTGCCTGCTTAGTGTAAATCAACAGACATATTTAGCCTGAAGCATTTTTTTTTTACAGTTCTGAATAGCTTCAAAATATTTCAGTGCTTTCAGAAACCACATCCTCTTTCCACCAGCTGCAGCACCATGAGTTGCAAGCCCAAAGGCTTTTGGAGAGCTCCGGAATATATGGCTCGTTACTTCTTGTGGTTTCTAGGGCTCTCCTAGTTAGAAGTGTACCAGGAGTTCTGGTGGCTAAAAGCCGTTTAACTTTTCAACTTTTTAGCCCTATTCATTGTTTCTGAAGGTTGCCTGAGGCTTTATTGTCATGTTTTTTAAATGCCCCTGCAGTGATAACCCTTCCCTTAACTGCAAAGTCATTTTCTAACGTAACTTCGTAAGAAAGAGATACAGCAAGGAATCAAGTTCATCTTGGAAGGGGGAGTTTTGCTCCTGTATAAGATGGGGAATTCATAATAAGATTATGTCCTAAAAAGCATGATTCCAGGACGACTGTCATGTATCCTTAAAATCTGGAGATAGTTATCTAGCCTTAGAGTCATGACAAGAGATCCTTTGCTTTTTAGAACATGAAATTAAATGATGTATTCCTCTGTTTTAGAATTCAGCAACTTCTAAAAGTATAACAAAAGCATAACTTCAAACTATCTTCTTAACTTTCTAAGCTAAGAAGTGTGTATAAATCCACAGTGATTATATGTTGATTTTCAAATGTAATTAAGAACATTATTTGAAATAAGGCCATAAAATTTGTAATTTTAGGCTTGTTAATTTTCTTTGTCCCAGCAGAACAAATCCTCTCTCTTTTCCATTGCAGGTATCTGCAGGAAAATTAAATGATCACTTTCCATTGGTGGTGTGGCAGACTGGGTCTGGAACTCAAACCAATATGAATGTCAATGAAGTCATCAGCAACAGAGCCATTGAGATAATGGGAGGCCAACTGGGGAGCAAAAACCCAGTACATCCGAATGATCATGTTAACAAAAGTCAGGTCATTATATTCACAAATATTTTTTTTTTTACTGTTAAAATTATTATTTTTTCTAATGTGATTCTTCAGGGTTCTTTTATAGCAGCTGTTTAGATAGAATTATGTATAGAAAAAAAGGAGTTTTGTGAGATTTGTGTACAGCTTGGGCAAATTAATTCTTCAGGTTCGTATTTTTCAGACTAAATGAACTTTAAAGTGTTGGTGAATGACTGTGCTTTTTAGATTAAAAACTTTGAATTCACTCATGACAGATGAATTCATATGGGATGTGGTGGGAATGGAGCTGGCCTGCTGGCACCCACTGCATCCACTTCTGCTGCAGACAGCTATAAAGGAGTCAAATATAGATCCAGTTTCTAAAGGCTGAGTAGGTGTAGCTGTTATCTCCATAATATGTTACATAAAGCATGTAGAAAGAATAATAAAGTGGCTAAATTCGTGCAATTGAAAAATGAAATATGCATCTCTTTCTCCCCCCCAGCCCCCACCCCCGCCATGGATTTTGGTAGACAGTCTTATTTTTGTGGTACTTCACTCTTAATATTTTCTTTAGATTAGCTAAAGTTTATGCCACTGAGTTGGTTATATCCCTTCCTGATATTTTGTGGTGGCTCAGTATTCTGGAAACTACTGAATTATTATTACCAAAGCAATACGTTGTCATTTTAGACATCTACAATTTCTTTAAAATCCTCTATCCATTTGTTATCTCTGTCTCCCATAACTACATAGTTCACAACAAAATTAAAAATAAAAATAAGAAAGAATTGCTATAGTGGCTGTGTAGTTAATTTTCCATGGGTATAGCTAGAAAAAGTTGATTTTATCATTAAGGTCCTGGATTTGAACTTGGAGGATTTTTATTCCTTCTGCAGATTGACATTTGGAACACTCCTAAGTTGCTTACTCTGTGCTACGTTTCTTGCTTATCAGATAAAAAGGGTAAAGCCTTACATGTAGATCTTACAGCAACAAATGGTGAGAAAAGCCTATAAATAAATTTCCTTAACTTCCTTCACAGAGCTCGAATGACACATTCCCAACAGCAATGCATATTGCTGCTGCCCAGGAGGTTAATGAGGTGTTGTTACCTGGACTAAAGAAGCTACAGAATGCACTTGAAGCGAAATCCAAAGAGTTTTCCCAAATCATAAAAATAGGACGCACTCATACACAGGATGCTGTTCCACTTACGCTTGGACAAGTAAGAAAAAAATCTTTTCCATTTGTTTGGAATGTTCTTGTAAATTAAATGGATGAAATTAATTTTGACTGAGGCAAATTCAAGGAGATCTAAAATTGAGCTGATAGTTTGAGATACATTATAGGAAACCAGTTGAATCTCAGTCATTGTATTTTCATTTTCATTGGGGTTTGCTGAATTTTGTACTCAAAACGGCATCACAAATTTCCTTAAATTTTTGCAAGAATTTGTTACTGCTAAAAGTAGCAAGATATAAATGATTTCTAAATGATTTTCCTTTACCAAATAACACAATATGATACATGATATTTCTGTTGCAGTGACATCAGAAGGAATAAAGTACAGTTAGTTCGTAATCTGTAAGCATATATAAATGAGGTTTTGCCAACACACAAAACTATACGAAGTGTTTTGAACCAACGTAATTATACTACTAGAAATGTGCACATCAAGTCTTGGTAATCATATGTTCAGAAAGGTCTTATATTGCCTGTACTTGGTAAGGAATCGACTTAAACTGAACTGATTAAAAAGGCATGTAAAATTTGTTTATTTCAAGAACGTGCAGGTAAGCTTTTTGCTAGCTAAACTAAGATGACCAAAACTTGGGGTCCATTTCTCTAATTGACTGAGAACTGGAGAACATGTTAATTTATTCTGAGAGCTGATTTACCTTGGATTCGGGTTCTACAAATTACACAACTCAGATAACAGGCAAGAGAGGGGTGTAGTATATACTTTTTAAATGTAAGTTGTTTTTATGTGTAATTGCTCCTCATGTGTGACCAGTCCTCTAATATATGTAAATCTGTGAGAAGTTCAGTGTCTTCAGATTTTTCAGTAAGAACCTCATCATGTTAAAAATTTAAATAATTCTGGATGCTTGTTCTTGTTTGTCTTTTTTGTTTCTTTTCTTGTCCTTCTTTCTTTCAAAGGAATTTAGTGGTTATGTGCAACAAATTAAATACGGTGTGGCTAGGATTGAGTCAACCATGCCAAGAGTCTATCAACTGGCAGCAGGTGGGACTGCAGTTGGTACAGGATTAAATACAAGAATTGGCTTTGCTGAGAAGGTTGCTGCTAAAGTGGCTGAACTGACAGGTGAGGAATGATAAATTGCAGAGTTATCAATAAAGCAGTATATGTAGCACATGCACTCAAATTCCAAGGAAAACTTTCAGTTGCCATTGAAATACATAAAGCTTCCCAAATTGTCTTTATATTTTAACATGAAACTTTCTGCAATTGCAGTGTTTTATATGCTTTATGCATAGGATTTTTCATGTAATGTTTTTTTCTAATTGTACTCAGTGCAGTGAAAGTGACTGAAATTATCATATTTTTCTTAATAAGGTTTATTGGAGATTGAAACTGTTTCATGCTTCTATTATTAGCCCAGCCATGTTGGTCTCTGCTCCTCCTCTCTTAATCTGGAGTGACTTGACACTAAAGAGGAAGAAAAACCTGCCAAAAATATTTTTTCATATGAAAGAATAGTTGATTGTCTAATTTTTGATGTTGTCTTTATAGATCTAAAACTCATTTACAGAGCCACTGAGTTTTTTGATCTGCAAACCAGTTAGAATTGCTCTCTTTTATGTAGTAATATCGGCTTTAAAAACACCTAAAAAATGAATGTCTCTGTCTTTCACTTAAGTGATTTCATGCTTTACAAGAAATTTTTCAGCAATATTTTTGTTCTGATGAATGTATTATTCACTGTCTAGTAGAGGACCAAGATGTTCTTGTACCCTGACAGGGAAGAAGTAACATGTGATAAACAACAGCTGCTGACAAGTTATCGGCTGCAGTGCAGGGCTCATTTTGGTGCTTGAAGAATCCATCAGTGTTTTTAGGAAGTTCTCCCATCTTACAGAATCACAGAATGGCCAAGGTTGGAAGGGACCTCTGGAGATCATCTAGTCCAACCTCCCTGCTCAAGCAGGGTCCTCTAGAGCACATTGCACAGGACCCTGTCCAGTTGGCTTCTGAATGTCTCCAGGGAAGGAGACTCCACAACCTCTCTGGGTAACCTGGTCCAGGGCTCTGTCACCCTCACGCTTGTGGGATGTACCATATGTGCAGACTGTATGAATTTAAAACAGTTGGGGCTGTCTGTTGAAACTCTGCATGTTCTTATATGGGAAGTTCATTGTCAAAGGCAAACTGAAGCTGTGGAAGGTTTGGAATGGTATCTGCAAGTGAGAGGGCAGCTTCGAGATGCAGAAGCCCATGCAAATGGGGAGAGAGTCAGTGTTCAGCAGGAACTGCGAAACATGGTAGAAATTCTCTTGTTCCTCTAGAAAATGGCATTAAGCTACTCTTCTGTTATTTGAACTGGCAATATTCTAAGCTCATAGTAGTATTCCTGCACATATCCTTAGTGATGTCCATTACCACTACCTGATGTTGACAGAGTACTCAGAAACACCTGTTGATACTACTTCTGTTCCAGGGCAAAGCCCTGAAAAAATAGTTTTTTTTTTTTTACTATGGAGCCTAGCTTCAAATCTTACTCTCCAACTGAGGTACACATAGCTGTTGCTTCTGTTGCTCTTGTGCTGCTGCTGTTGGCAGCAATTTCAGGCATCCTTCTGATGAATCAGCTTTCATGTGTGCTGTCAAGTTTGTTGTTCCTTTTCAATGCCAATGCTTAGAATATGGATATGTCTTTTTTTTTCTTTATGTAACTGTTTCTATTATGATTACTTTTTATTTATCCTAATATCTGCACTGATATGTAAAAATCTCCATCTCAATCTCTGAGAGAAAGCATCCTTGAAATTAAGAGTCTAAAGAATCTAAATTGCTATTATGGAGGAAATACATAAGTTAGGGCTAAATTTTAAGAAGTTCTTGACATTCACAAAGTATTATGAGTGAGCAAAGCAACACTTAGGATGCAACCCATACTGTGAAAACTTGAGCATCTACCTGTAATGAACTTCAACTTTTATACTCTTCTGTATAAAAGTCTTGGTGACTTTTGTTGTCTTTTGTAAACAGTCAGTTTAAGAGAAGTGTGAGGAAAGGTCTAGAGAAGACAAAGATGAATTATTATTAACTATTACTAATAATAATGAATATCATTTTATATCGAGCAAATCACATGTTTGATTATCTGTTTTATGTCTGCAAGGTAGTACCTCACAGTTTTAATATTCCCTGCCCTTCCTGTAGGTTTGCCTTTTGTCACTGCCCCAAATAAGTTTGAAGCCCTTGCAGCTCATGATGCTCTCGTTGAACTCAGCGGCGCTATGAACACAGTGGCATGTAGTCTGATGAAAATAGCTAATGATATTCGTTTCCTGGGTTCTGGACCGCGCTCTGGACTAGGGGAACTCATCCTACCTGAAAATGAACCAGGAAGCAGTATCATGCCAGGTAACATACGGGGGAAAATGCCTGTTTCTTTTCCGTTGGACCAGTATCTGTTACCAAGTACTTGATAACTTAAACATCCACCAAAAATTTCAATGAGAAGTCCATGATTCAATATTTCTGTCAGTTTTTATCTTCTGTCCTATTTTACCACAATTTGTGTTCATAAAAATATTTGCTTGCACGGCTGCGCGCGTGACAAGTGTGTGCAGGGGATTAATATCTGTGCAGGTATAACACAACTTTATTGATGCAAGCATACTTCTCCAAACCTTCCTTTGAATTGCAAGATCTTTAATATTTTTAAGTAAAGACTTTTCTGAAGCAGGCTTTAAATGATCTAATCTCTGAATCGTAGCATCTGTTATTCGAGCTGAGTAGCGGATGATTGTTTTGGCCATACTGTAATGTAAATTGACTTCTGTCTTTACTTCCTAGCCTAATTAATGTTATGCACTCGCGTTTTCCCTTCTGCAACGATTCCAGTTCATTGGCGGTTAAGAAAGGACGGAATAATATTATTAATCATTCCTTGCCCCTTTCCTAAAAAGTATGCATATAGGAATGCTATACATCTGAATTTATGATGATCAGGTCCTTTTTGTATGATAAATTATGAAAGAAACAGGCTGTGTGCATATCTGGCTTTAAAAAAGCAGGTACTGAATGCTCTTACTAGGATTATTTTCTAGAAGTGAAATCAACCATAGAACTCTCTTGTTAGGAGGTCCCTCTAATTTGCTTTTGCTGACAAAGTAAAACATCGTGGATCAATTTTGTTACAAAGTAATTTTAACAAATTTGTAATAATTAAATTAACTATGGCTTAGTAGTGATTTACTGGAAATGCCTATGTACTTGAATAATGACGTTACAATCTCTTGACTTTTAAGAACTGGGGTAGCTTAGAGTTATTCTGTTCATGCACACTAGATTCAGCTCTCAAAGGCTTGGTAGATGGCTAAAGCAGTCTTTGGTGTCGGTGTGGGGGGTGGCCTTCTCTAAAACTTTACATTTTGCAAATCTTCTTTTCCTTCCAACAGAAGGGAATATATGATTAAAGGTTTTGTATTGTGCAGAGAATGGAGAATTAAATGAGAATGATAATTTTATTTTAAGCTTGAGAGATATTAAAAAATCCTAGCTGAATTACTAGAAAAGTGCAGTGAATTTAACATAATTTTTGAAATTATTTCTCTTATGTATTTCTTGATTTAGTAGCTATAGATGTATGAGACATGCTAGAAAACATATTCTGTTGAATGTGATTTGGTAAATAAGGAACTACTGTTTTACCTTTTTTCTCTCCCTTTCACAACCAGGAAAAGTGAACCCTACACAGTGTGAAGCTGTAACCATGGTGGCAGCCCAAGTTATGGGAAACCATGTAGCTGTTACTGTAGGAGGTAGCAATGGACACTTTGAACTAAACGTTTTTAAGCCCATGATGGTAAGTTCAAACCATTTTAAATATCGAGGACTTCTGAAGTCATCCATCATTCGTACAGGTAGTCAAATAACTAGGGAAAAAAATCAGTGACTATATTGTTCACATGAGCGTCAGAGAAGCTGATAAAAGTGACAATAAACTTTATTCTTTTTTGTAAGTGCTATTATTTTGACCGAGGCCTGGCTATCTTTTTTACATGAAACTATCTTATGCAAATAAGCTTCTGGCTTAAAAATGTATCCTCATCATTAGTCTGAGGAAGTGGGAAGGCAGGATCACAATTTGAGACAAAATTTTGTCAAAAGCCAAAGAAAACTTGGTGTTCTAGCTAAAAGTGAGAATTTTCTTGTTTGATACGCAGAAACTATTGTTGCCAATTTGTTTTACTGCTGAAGACCAAAGGATTGCGTACTTTTGGCAAGCGAGTCACTTATAATTGTAAAAGATTAGTTTGAGACTTCAGTTTTTAAAATAATGTCGGCCTTCTGCAGCGTGAGGAGGATAAACCATAGTCCTACCATGAGTAGGACTCCCCCTCTATATTTAATTAGAAGATGCACATCTGGTTAACTGAGTGTTACGTCCATGTAATTTTTTTTCTTTTTTATCTTAAAACCAAGAAGGAAAAATGAACAGAGGAGAAATTGAGGAAAAGAATACAAACAAAAGAATAAAAACTGAAAATTGTGGAGAGCTGTATGTAAGATTACGGAGGAATAGCATAGAGGTTAGGGTAGGAATGGCAGTTTAAAAAGAATGAAGGTAGCTTGTGGAAAAGATCTTAATATTAAATAGAAATAACAAGAAATTGTGAGTTTATGTCTTTTTGTTAGAAATACAAGACACAAGGAAAGCATCGTGCCATATATTATTTTTCTACATGGTCTATACTGACTGATGCTGCTCTTTTGTTACACTAGTTAGAAATGATTGATTGATATTGTTAAAAAAAAATCAGTATTTGTCTCTTCCTTACTGAGTCTGTTTAGTACACTGTTTTTTTTTTTTTGTCCAAGCCAGATGCTATATACTTTAAAGAAGTTTGTTCAAAGGGGTTAAAAAACATATTGCTCAGCCAAGAGATGTTCCTAACAGAAGAGAAATACAGAAACAGACAGAGAAGATAGAAACAGACAATGATCCAAAAAATGTAATGGCATGCAATGGTTTCTCTAAGTAGAGGACTAATGCCAGACAGTATCATGCTTTATATTTTTAGATGTCTTCTCTTAACTGGTGCTTAGGGGGGAAAAAAATATCCTTGAATCAAATACCTTCACGTAGTTTTACTTGCTATTTGTAAACTGTTCTGAAAAAAAATGTTTATACGTACTGAGATCTTCTTTATGTAAGAGTTCTTCAGTTTTTGAGTGCTTCTCACAGAATTTTTTTTAAGTATGACTGGCTGGACTTACCTGCAAAGGGAAGAGGGTGTATTATTTACTGTACTTCTTTCATAAAAATACCCTATCAAAGAAGTCGATATTGGGAGAGGGTTATGAACAAATATACCAGATTATGCAAGTATCAATGTCTGAATATAATAGTTGGCATTATTTCCTCTTTGTTAGATTAAAAATGTGTTAAACTCTGCAAGACTTCTTGGAGACGTTTGTGTTTCTTTCACTGACAACTGTGTAGTTGGAATCCAAGCCAATACAGACAGGATCAGCAAATTAATGAGTGAATCACTGATGTTGGTGACAGCACTTAATCCTCATATAGGTAAGCTTAAGGCTCAGAAACTTCTCAGAACATTATATTGAAATATTTAGCAGTAATGTTCCATTAAAATATTTTGCAGTAACGTTATTTTGCATACATTGTTTGTATTATCACAGTGTTTAGGAGATCAAATCATTAGCCAGGTCAAAACTTAATTTACTTTAACATCCCCAGCTACTATTATTGGTGGAAAAGATGTGTCCTGTTTGCAGTGGCCGTTCCAGTGTATTAAAAGTAAAATCCGATAGGAGTCAAAGAGGAAATTAGGAAGAATGGTATGCCCTTTGTCCTGATTTGACCTCTTTAATAAGAATGAAAAATGAAAGATTACAATATGAGATATTTCAAAAGGAGAAGTCACTGCGTAGCACGTTGACTAAAGTCACATAGAACTCTTGTCTCAATGCATTATGAGCAGAATTACAGAATTTGCCTTAAGTGAGGAGTTAGTGTAATACGTTTATTGCACGTTTACTGCAAATTAAGTAGCAATGTAGCAATCATAGCACTGCCTAGCAAATTGATAATTCAAGGGCCACGCATCCTACTTTTTTCCTCATATCTAACATCTTCTAGAGCTGCAGATGGCTAAATTGTTCATTTTGTTTTGTTACAGGATATGATAAAGCAGCCAAAATTGCCAAAACTGCACACAAAGAAGGGACAACATTAAAAGAAGCTGCTATAAAGCTGGGATTCCTTACATCAGACCAGTTTGATCAGTGGGTGAAGCCTAAAGATATGTTAGGTCCCCAGTAATTTCTTTAAAAACACATTATTAACGTAATAAATAAATAAAACAAATATGCTTTTGTTTTGCTTTTCATTGCCACACATGTTCATGGTGTTACTCTTTAATATAAGCAGTAACTGTGTTGAGATCAACTGATCTTTTGGGGAAGACTACTGCTATAGGTATTTATATTAGAAAATAGGTACAATTTCAATATTTACATAACTCAATGTAATACCCTTTTCTAGTAGTTGATGGCAATTTTGAAAAGGTAGTGAGCAGAATACTATATATATATATGATACTGTTATACAGTGTATGCTGAGAGAGAAAACATTTGTTTACTGTAAGGAGACATATTAGCATAGCTGTATCTTATTCTATTTGAATAATTAAAACTATTGGGGCTTTTCTAGTTACTAAGAAACATTCACTGAATGGACTCTTTCAGTGTGTTTGAAAGTAAAGATTAGAACTAATTTATAGATTCTCTCATAAATACTCAACAATTTTCCCCAAAAAGTCATACATAATGTAATAATTTCATATCCTTCCCTTTCCTGCTTCAGTGCTAAGAAACATGTTTTAAACTTGCTTTCCAAATATTTTATTGGTTAACTCATTTTTTTTAATTTCTGCTAGTAGCTGAATAACAGTAATTTTCGATAATTTGGGTTTCAGCTTTCCAGTAAAGTGTTTATCGGGGAAGGAAGTTGCCCTAAATATTCAAGTCTGATTTGTTAGTATGTAGTAAATTGAGCAGTTACCTTTAGACTCTGAACTTTAAAAAGAAACTGTAGACATCAACCCCCACTGAAGAGGCAGACGTTCTTGCCTTGTCTTTTTACTATTTCCATCCAAGCTAGCAACATCCTTCCAACACTCGGCAACCTGCCCGGGCCGCGCATTCAGCCTCGTTTCTCGGCCGGGCCCTTTAAATAAGATCTGCTTGGCCCCACCTATTTTCTAGTAGCCAATCACGGACCGCCTCCCTCGACGGAAGGGCGGGAGTAAGGGCCCATGTCGCTGCAACCATGCTTCCGCCCTTAGCAGGGCACCGCCTCGCTTGGCTCTTCCGGCGCGGAGTTCGCGCAGGCGCGGTGACGTGCGGAGTCGGCCGTGGGCTTCCGGGTTGGTGGGGAGATCGTTATTGCCGTTGTCGCGTCCGAGCGCCGCCGCCATGAACCGCTTCTTCGGCAAAGCGAAGCCCAAGGCGCCTCCGCCGAGCCTCACCGACTGCATC